CCGGCCCCGCCGCCACCCCTCGCCCCAGCCGTGTCCGCCGCCTCGGACGACAGCGGCGCGGAGCCAGGCCAGACGCCGGACGGCCCCGGTGGCAGCGGCGGAGGCAGCCCGCCGAGCGGCGCCGGCCTTGCCGGCGGCGCGCTGGACGGAGGCACGGACGGCGGCGACAAGGTGCAGATCTGCTACGATTTCACAAAGGGCATGTGCACGCGCGGCGACAAGTGCAAGTACAGCCACGACATCGCCACCATCGTCCACTTCAACAGCCGGGAAAAGGGGATCTGCTTCGACTACCTGCGGGGCCAGTGCCACAGGGGCCTGCTGTGCAGGTTCAGCCATGACCTCTCGAACATCGCGCAGCAGTGCCAGGTGCGAAATAAACTAAACAGGTTTACGGCAGCGGAGCCGCCAGTTGCGCTTGGGTCGCTGCAGAGGAGTCCCAGGGCAGGGGTCGGGACCGAGGGGGGGGGGCTGCTGTGCTGCTGTGGTCGCCTCACAGGAGCGAGCGTACACTTTCATCACATGCAAATATACTTGATTGACCAATGCATGACACATGGATGGTCACGCAATCCTGCTCCACCCTCGGGCCGCCTGCCATGTGGCTGCCCCACTCCCAACCCCATTCAGCAGGTGCCGGACGCCCCAGACTCGGCCCAGGCCTCAGCGCCCGGCGCCGACGCCGTCGACGCCGCGCCCGGCGGCGCAGCCCAGCAGCAGCGGCGCGTGGCGTCGATCTGCTACGATTTTGTCAAGGGCCTGTGCCAGCGCGGCGCCGAGTGCAGGTGCGCGGCCGCACTCTGGCCCCGCCATGCGTTGCGCAGCCCGCCGGCGTGCCTGTGCCTCCTTGTGCCGCCACGGCCGCCAACACTTGTGCCAATTCGCGATCGTGCGATCGCCCTCTCAAGCCGCTGCTGCGATTTGTAACAGCAGCCAGGCCTCGTGCCCCTCCCTGTTCTGTGTCTCGCCCTGCAACTCGCCGCCTCTTCCCTAGCCAACCCCCTCCCCACTTTCCGATTGTCAGCAAATACAAAGGCGCACAGTCAAACATGGCGTCACCTCATGCAACACGCCCCCTCTCCCCAGATACTCGCATGACATCACCCTCATCGTGCGCACGGCGAGGGGCGGCCTGGGGCCTGGCGCGGGCCCGCCGCCGGCGATGGATGTTTGCTACGACTTTCTCAGGCGCGTTCGGGGCCTTGGCGGCATTGGGGGTACGGAGTTGCTCTTGGCTTGGGTGTGCTCAGCCCCCTCTGATGGACTCGGGACGCGGCTTTTGGGGTCGTGGGGCGCATGGGTGGGGGCGGTTTGGCGCTCTCCTGGGAGGGCGCAAGGGTGCCTCGCGAGCCACCGGCTCGCGCCTCGACGCGGGAGAGCCGCGTCCGCGTGACATCTTTCGCTGGGAGCAGCCCGCGGCCCCTCCCTTTGACCGGAGCGCGCCCGGCCTGCGCTCGACCCTCGTCCCTTGGACCGACTCACAGGGGCCGCTGCAGCCGGGGGTCGAGCTGCAAGTACAGCCACAGAGTGGCGACGCTCGGCGATGGCCCGCTGGGCTCCTCCCCTTGGCCCGGCCCGATGGGCCTGCTGCCGCCCGGGGCTGCCGCCGCGGCCGCCGCGGCGCTCCGCGCCCCCGCACACGTGCTGGGGGCGCCCGTGGGGCCGCTGGTGCCGAATGGGGCGCCCCTGCGCATGCTGCTCAACCACCGGGGGCAGGCCGCCGCGGCGGGGGCTCCACCGGTGCCCGGTGCGTTCGCACCGCACCACGCGCCGACGCCGCCGGCAGGGTGAGCACGGTCGGACGCAAAGGGAGCCGGCGTGCTTGGAAGCATGTGCGTGCCTGAATCGTGTTTCAGCTCAGTTGCGGGGGCCGCTCAGTTGCGTGGACAAGTCTTAGCGCTGCTGCTTCCAATGCCAAATCCCCAGGTACTTGCCGTCAGGTGCTGCTCTGCAGCCCCCGAGCACAGGCGCCGCGCAGCTGCCCGGTCTGCTGGCCGCCATGGCACAACAGCACCTGCAGCAGCAGCAGCAGCAGTACCAACATTACCAGCAGCAGTACAGCCAGCAGCAGCAGCAGCAGCAGCAGTACCAGCACGCCGCGATGGTTGCTGCATCTGCGATGGTGCAGCAGCAGCAGCAGCAGCGACTGGACACATTCCACCGGCAGCGGCCCAGCTTTTCAGGCTCTGCCGGTAGCGCGGACGCAGAGGGGTCGTTAGAGCCCGCCAGCGGCTGTGGCAGCCTGGGCGCGGCGGACGGCACCCACGGCCTGCCGCCCCGTCCCCCCTCGGTCGGCCAGGCGCCCGGCGGCGCGCAGGGCGGCTTCGCGGGCGGCGCGCCGGCGTTCGGGCCGGGCGGCACCTGCCAGCCGAGCGGCAGCGTCATCGGCGGGGAGCGGAGGTGGGCGGCTCGTTGTCTGCTCTGCACAGGCTACGGCTGGACGGTAGCACAAACCGAACACGCTCGTTCTGCTTGGCCACCCGCCAGTGCTGCTGACTGTGCGCCTGGTGCCTTCCCCTGCATTGCCCAGACGTTCACGCAGCACGCTCACGCAAACACTGCTTGCTCTACGGCACAACACCTCACCGAGCACAGGCTGCTCCCCGGACCTCTCGCAACGGGTGCCGATCTGATTGCTGCCACCAGCAGCGGGCTTCGCACGATGCACCTGCAAGACAGCGGCGGGAGCGGCGGCGGCCGCCACCGGCAGGAGCAGCAGCAGCAGCCGCAGCAGCAGCAGCAGCAGCAGCCATGGGGCTCAAAAGCGGAGCCTCGCCGCTCGGACGGCGGCGCCGCTGTGCCGAACGCGCTCGCTGGCGGCGGCCCGGGCGCGGGAGCCCCTTGGGCAACTCAGCAGCAGGCGCCGCACATGTCACGCGCCTACTCAGCACCCGCAGAGGGGGCGATGGAGCTGGGCGCGCTGCAAGCGCCGCCTGTGCACGTTGGCCGCCAAAGCCTCAGTGGCGGCGCGCAGATGCTGCCGCTGCCGCAGCGGCGGCAGCAGCACGAGCAGCAGTTGCCCCCGCCAGGCCACACCAGCTGCCCTCCAGGCGCCTCTCCCGTTGGCAGCGGCGGCGGCCCTTTATTCTTTGGCATGCGGCCCGCGCCTGGCACGCTGCAGCCTAGCGGAGGCGAGGGTGGCCCCTTCTTCGGCACACCCCCGAGCATCCAGGGCAGCGCGGGGCCGTCGCCGACGCAGCAGCTGTTGCCTCCCCAGATCTACCCCCCGCCCATGCAGCTGCCGCCGGCTCACATGCAGCACCAGGCGCTGGGGCATGGGCAGCAGCAGCCGCCGCCGCCGCAGCAGCAGCTTCAACACCGGCTGGGGCTGGACCAGGGACAGCAGCAGCAGCAACTCTGGGACCATCGGCATTACCCGCAACAGCAGCAGCAGCAGCAGCAACGCCCCAGCCACGACGGCGGCCTGCGGCACGACCAGACAGCCAGCACGCCCGTCGACATCCCGGGCGTCAAGGGGGCTGCCGGCGAGGGCGCCGCGGCGGGGGGCGCGGCGGTTTCCGCGCCCGTGGCAGTCGGAGACCAGGAGGTGGGCACGAGGGGCGCGCGTAGTCTGCGAGCACGTGAGGCGCACACACAGTCCGTTGCAATAGGGCGCGGCCAGCGGCGACTCGCTTCGAGTAGTTGCTAGTCCAGCGCCCTAGTGTCCTTTGGCCCAGCTGCGAGGGCCCCAGGCTCTCACCGCGCTCGCACGTTGGTGCCGCGCCTGTCCGCAGAGTCGACCTGATTCGTGCTCGTCATACCTTGCAAACACCAGCCCTTCTCACTGATGACCACCACCTATTCACGCAACCCTGACCGCCCCAGGCTCAACAGGAGGGCTTCCTCGGCCTCGACCGCCCTGCCAGCGGCAATTTGCCCAACAGCCTGCTGCCGCTCCTCAAGGAGATCTGGAAGCGATGACGTCACCCGCTGGTGATCTGGGAGCGCGCGGCGCGGTCCAGGCCAGCGATTTCGCGCCCCCTCTGTTGTGTATCATTACCCTGGCGTCCGTCGCCAAGCCGACGCCGAGCACCGTGGCCCGCAGCAGGCACGATAGGCCTCGCCTTGCTGCCCTAGCGCGGGAGCCCGCGGCAGCGCCCGCCGCCGCGCGCCTGCATGCCACTGGGGCTGCTCGCGTCGGACGGCCGATGATTCGACCCGCTGCACCTGCCTGCCGCGCGACGCGCGTCGAATCCCCGCGACCGCGCTAGTTTTCTGCTTTTCCGGGGGGTCTTCAAGCTGAATCGCCAGTGCCGCGGCGCCGGGTCGGCCAGCTGCTTTTGAGAAAACACCTCCATTCCACCGACCCAAGCACCACGAGCAAGGAGAGCGTTGCACCTAGTTTGGACCTGAGCGCAGCACGCACAGCGTGCGGCGCCGCTTTCGTGCATTGTTTGCAGCCCCGTCGCCCTCTCGGCGTCACGCATGGCGGGCGGCAAGCCAGGGCCCCTCGACCGCTTTGAGGGCACGGGCATTGTGTCGCTCCCCGCGCGCCCCGCTGGCGCCGCCTCGGGCCGGTGGCCCTCGCGGGCGCGCGTGGCGCTGTCGAAGGAAGAGAACCGTGCGCGTGTGCGTACAAGTGACACAGGGCGCTCACCTGCAGCTTGCCTGCGGGCGCCCTCCGTTTGCACCAGCCAGAGCTCTGTCTCAATTTTGAATGGAAAGGAGGGGAAGGGACCGAAGGTGGGGCACGGCACCGCCTGAGGGGCAAGAGCATACACCGCATCAGCCCACTCTTGGTGCGACGCCCGTCAGCCCGCCTGGCGCCCGACCCCTGAGGCGGCGTCCCTTACCAATTCACAGTACTCCAGGCCAGAAGCTTTGGCTTGGTGGGCTGCAGCACCTGTGGGCACTTTTGTCCCTGCGCACAGCTGCCCCGCACTATCTGTGATTGCGACGCATCGACAGCCAGACTGACTGTGCATTCACTAGCCCTCCACACGAATCTCGCCCGGCCGGCGCGGCAGCGCCTCGCCCAGCGCCGACATGGCACGCGGTCTACGGCGTGCGCCCGCCGGAGCGCACTTTGACCCCATTTGACCAGGTTTGACCGGCCCTTCCTCGCGACCTGACTGCTGCTGGCTGCTGACGACCCTGATCAGCAAGCATGCTGCTGCCTCTGTACGCACATCAGTGGGGGCCCGGCAGCGCCCGGCATGACCCGGGCGCTCCCAAATTACGCTTGACCGCCGGAGCGCACTTTGACCTCACCTGACCAGGCTTGACCGGCCGTTCCCACTGATGTGACCACTACCTTTGGACGGGCGCGGCCGGCATGCACCCCTTCACCTCTGCATGCGAATGGGTGGAGGCCGGCTGCCGCAGCACTACAGCGATGTTGACCAAATTTGACCAGGCTTCGCCGGGGACTCGCTTTTGACCTGACCAACAGCTTGGACCACAAGAGACTGGCAAGCTGCCCTTCACCCTTTCACGCACATTCAGGCATACAGTTGTGTGGATAGAGGAGGCTTTTGCCGTGACGCAGGCAGCAGTAGCCAGCAAGTGGGACCAGCAGCACAAGACTGTCTCTTGGTCGCGAAGGCAACGCCTTAACAGCAGGAGGCCCAGGCGGGGTTAGTGACGCATTGGCTGCCGGGCGGCGACACCCCGCGCTTGGCCGAGTGGGACCCATACTATGCATATATCAAAATGCTTGAGACCGCCACAGCAGAATCCCATGTATAAACTCCCTAGTGGGCTGCCCTTGGACAACTGGCGCTCCACTTTGGCGCGCGGAAAGCTTCCCGGCGCGCATCCTGTGCCAGCGGGGCTTTGGTGGTCGGTCTGTCGTTGTCATCGTTTACACTTACTGTGTGCATGTCTGCGTGCACGCAGCATGTGAAAACCCAGGACAGAGGCCTGCCGTAAGTCCGTACATTACTTGACAGAGAGTGGGGCGAGCCGGGTTTGCAAGACGCGGCCCCGCACATGAGGCATCCAGCCGCTCGCGCAGCCGGCGCCGCAAGCCACATGCCTGGCCCCCACTACGCAGGCCCAAGTGACGCGCGCCAGACTCGTCGCCGCGCACCGCCGCGGCCGCCGGAGATCGGGCGCTGCAGACACGGCGGACGGGCTGCCGATCTGCAGATGCTCAGCGGAAGTCAGGAGGGCGGCGGGAACTTGGTGGCCTGCGCCTGCACCTTCCGGCGGTACTCTGCCAGCCGCTGCGTGTAGGCCATGAAGGCGTCGCTCTGCGCGGGGCTCTGCGCGTTGGGATTGTCCAGCAGCTCCTGGGG